GCCTTTATTTCAGGCACTAACGCTGCTTTTTCAATAAAAGGGTCTAGTGCTGGAAAAAGGTACTCTCCTCAGTTTGTGAAAGCTGCCAAGCTGCTCCATTGGAATGGACATTTCAAGCCTTGGGGAAGAACAGCTTCCTATGCTGAAGTCTGGGAGAAGTGGTACGTCCCTGACCCTACAGGCAAGTTCAACCTGATCCGCAGACACTCGGAAGCCTATGAAGCAAAGTAGGGCCAGTGTTGGTAACTGATGGTGCTTTCTCAGGAAACTTTTGGAGCCAAGCAGAACATTTCTTTTTTTAGCCAACATGTATTACAGAGCCATCCTTGCCTTCTGGAGCACAAGGTGATGCACTTGTTCAGGTGCAGTTCTGAAATGCACAGGTCCAAAGGAGGCTCATGTCACCTGCATGACAGAAGGTGCTGCTCCAGCAGCACTACAGAAAGCGAGGGAGGATCTCCACAAACAGGCACTTTTGTTTAGATCATTTCAGTCGTGTTCTTCTGCTCTTTACTATGAGTCTTGTAGCAGAGGATCATTTTATCAGTTACAGAAACGTTTCTAAGAACAAGATACAAATTCATTTGGTGCTTGCACCACGCAAATGTTGCACATCAATGTACTGTAATTAAGAGTTGCTTGGGTTCTGGATTTGTTTTTTGTTGCTTTGTTTTGTTATTCTGTGAAATAGTTCCCTCAAAACCCTTTCATGCATGAAAACTCCCAACCATTTCTGTGTAAGTCTTTCTTGCAGAATTCTACAAAATTGAATCTTTTGTGAAAGATGAATTCTTCAAGTTTTATTTCACTATGCAAAGTGGTTTTAACTGCCAGTGAACACTAAAACATGTTTTGTAAAGTGGTGGATGAAACCTTGTTCAAAAATAAAGCTAATTGTAACATGTTGACTCAAGCCTCGGGTAAATGGCTGCCCATCGTCCCTGCTACAGGTAAGTTGTTTTGTTTTTTTATAGCTGTGCTGTGAAGTTTGGGTAGTAGTTGTTATTAGCTGATCTATCCCAGCAGTTATTGTGCCAACTGTTCCCTTTAACAGAGGTTAGAACTGAAGTTGACACTGCTTGTGAACAGTTCTCTGTGGAAGATGTTTAGACAAAAGGCTTTGTGTTCATGCAATGACAGCTGAATGCTGCATGGTCTCAGATACAGGACAAGGGCTCCTTCATGACTACGAGTATGGTTTTAATTCTGCTTTGTCATTTAAAAGGATTTCAAACTGCTTGTCTCATTGCAGTCGCTGCCTGTCGTGGATGTTGATCTGGTTTGTTCCCTTTTGTTTCTTTTGCTGGGTTTTGATGAAAAATTCTTGTCCTTGAAGCAGTAATAAGTTCACTTACCAAACTTTGAAAGATTGTACTGGATCAGCTGGCACCAAGTTAATTCAGATGAGCAGGCTGTGTTTGAGCAGGCTTAAAGAAACTCCATCTGTTTGTGTCTACACTTGACACCTTTTTGAGCTGCCTTATGAGGACTATGCCCCTCAGGATACCTTTAACAGATAGGTTTGTTTTCCCTAAAGAACACAGAAATCAGACCTAATAGGAAGAAAACAGATTCATAGGATGAAGATGCTCAATATGAGGCATTTATTCTAAATGTTTAATTCTTGGAGCAGCTGTAGGGCCTCTTGGTAATTCTCTGTAGCAATCCCAGTTCTGCTACAGGCTGAGCACAGTAACACACCCTGACTGCACAGGGCCGTGTTTTGCTTTATATTTAAAAGTTCTTGGCCAGACATGACAGGTGTCACCAGGAAATAACTCTTTTGTTCAAGAGCACTGTAAGAACAAGCACCTTGTTCCCCAGTGAAGGAGGGTTACTAATGTAATCTGTTACTTTTCCCTGTGAAGGTCCAGAACAGATTAAAATACCTTATGTCTAGCTCAAATAAGGACCATTTTTTAGCCACTTTTTACTTATTAAAGTTTTACAAGTTTTGCAAAAATACACTGAAAAGTTACTGTCTGAAGTCAGGCTCTAGGGATACAGTTCTTGTAATCCTCTAGGAAAAGCAATTAAATTTGATGCAGGAATGAAAACTTATCTTGAAATTGAATTGCTTGAACATGACTAGAATTAAAGATTTACCACTGTTTTGCAGTGAAAAGGACAAACCATTTATCCTTTTGAAACATCTTTTTATAAGACAAAGTGAACAGACTGACTTGGCATATTAGGAATTTTTTTAAATAGGATTTATTACAGGAAATAAACTTTACAACTTAAAGCTGAATAACAGGCAGTTTCCCAGACTGTATAAAATCTGGAACCATCAAGGGATATGCACTACTATATACATTATTTGATGCAGCAATAATTGTGAGTCTTTGCAGCAGCTCTGGTGTGCAGCATTCCTCCACTTCTGCTGCAACTCAAGTCTTCAGGGCTGTTCTGAAGGCCAGTAGTAAGAGTGTCCAAACAGTGCCATCACACCTGATTGCTACACATAGTCTGTATTAAAATCATAGGCATCATCTTCCTCTGCTGGCTTATCTAAGCTGAAGGACAGGCAAGTGGAATGTTCACCTTCTGAGAAGAGAAAATCATGTGTTAGTGAAACCAGTGCAAGTGCTGGAGTACTAGAGACCCTCCTTGAAACCAGAGTTCTTAATACAGACCTGCCATCTGCTCCTCTGAATTTGTAGGGTTTGCTTGTTGTTTTCCAAGCTTTGCTTTCCTGGTGACCTGAACTTTGCTTTCCTACAAGTCAGAGACATCAGAGGTGTGTTATTCAAACATCACTAATGAAATGTCCCATGCAAATAAAACCCAACAGGCCCTGAGGATGATGTGGGTGTCCCCTTGTACAGTTGGTTAGAAACACACTGCTCAGGCAACTGACTTGGAACAATGTTGTGTCCTTAACTAAGGAAAACAGCCCAACTCTTACCTGGAGGAGAAAGGCTTTTTGATTACAACCAGTGTCTCCAGTGCCTCACTTCACAGCAAGACACTGACTGGGTTCTTGGTGTCAAGATCTAAACAGGTAGAAACCTTAATTTACCTCTTTGACATCATTTTCTTCTTCATCTTCTTCCACATCATCATCATCATCATCACCTTCTGTAAATCCCTCCTCTTCTTCTTCCTCTTCCTCCTCCTCTTCTTCTTCTTCTTCCTCCTCCTCGGTTCTTTCCATGTTTTTCCACTTTGATCCTTCCTCTATCACTTTACTTTCCTCTATTGTCCCATTTGCCATACCAGCTGACTGGAAAATAATGCTGCTTGCTGGAGTGGGGTATTTTAAAGCTGGCAAAGACATAGTAAGTGTCTGTTAAGTCCCAGTCAGACAGCACCAGGTGTAATGCCAACCCTGAGAGGACACATTTTAGTCTTGCCCCCTCCCTGCCATAGCACTCCCACATAGGCAGGCAGAACAAAGGACAATTCTGAGACTGCTAGGAGCTGAAAATCTTGGATTTGAGTATAGCTAAGTTTACCTAAGTAAGTTTAGATTAGATATTAGGAAAAATATCTTTCCTGTGAGGATGGTGAGGCACTGGCACAGGTTGCCCAGAAAAGCTGTGGCTTCCCCATCCCTAGAAGTGTTCAAGGCCAGGTTGGATGGGGCTCTGAGCAGCCTGGTCTAGTGGGAAGTGCCCCTGCCCATGGCAGGGGGGTTGGAGTGAGATGATCTTTAAAGTCCCTTCCAACCCAAACCATTCTATGCTTAATGGTAGTGTATCACAGTAACAGTCCTACCTTGAACAGTGTTGCTGTTTTCTTCTTCTAAGTTCTTTAAATTAAAGCCCTCCTGCATTTCAGCTATTTTTTGTTCTGTAAGATATGGTGGTGGTGTCTGAGATCCTGGAGGTTCTGAGTGGTAGCTTATTTTGCCTCTGGGAAATTAAAATCAGCATTAAAAACTAACTAAAGATAACATAGTTAAATCACTGTATTTAAAAATAAAACCCAGAGCACAAAACTGTGAAACTTCACAACCTAAATACTCATGTACTATTAGCTGTTTATAGCAGTTTAATAGCTATTTAAATTTGACTCTGCTGTCAACAGTATTAAGTGGATTGCCCACTCCTGAAAGGGAAAAGAAGTGGCATACATTGTCACCACAAATCACCTGCCTGTATAATCATGAGCTGTAAAAGCTGCTGAACAACTTGTCCAAGAGAAAAAATCACAGTCAATTACTGATTCTGAGTTACATTTGTTCCCACCCTCACAATACAGGAATCACCATAAATTTCCACAGAAGATTTGCCACATCCTTTCCTGTGTAGAAGAGAACTACATGGACTTGGTATTTGAGAGGAAGGCGAATTTCCCTAAGAGAGTTACAGCATAAGTCAGCAAACTGGCTATGGAGTAATGTGCAACAGGCTTTGACTTTTGTCATGTATCCCTCACAACTTTAGAAAATTATCCATGGATGGCATTCCCTAACTCTGTTGGCCAATCCAGCTCTTTACCAAAGTAAAATGTGAGAAATCAAGGGAAAAAATGGAAAAAAGGAAAGGCTCTCCTTTCGAAGTGCTTTGCATGACTTGGAGTTTCTGCTGTGCTCGATTAACAACATGAAAAAGGTGAGCAGCACAGAGCAAAGTTCACAGCATACATACCCTGTCCAGTCACAGAGCACTAATTTAGCTACATTTTCTACATCAGGAACACCTCCCTTTTTCAGCATGCCCCTCTTCTGAGCAAGTAAAGATAAAAACTCCTCAGGGTTCCTGAAATCTGGCATATTGTAGCGCATCATTACCTAGGGCAAAAGAAAATGGCCTATTCAGAGAGACCCACCTTTCTCTTAGTTTTAGGAATAAAAGAGCAAATCAAATTGCATTACAATGAGGACAAACCAGAGTGTGAAGAGCTGTTTTTCTCTTGCATATGGGAGTAAACATTACAAAACAAAACGCCTTCTTCACCAACAAACTCCTTTGCATTCACCCAGACTAGTGGGTGTACAGAGACAGAGCACTGGTCTGTGAAAACAGTCACTGAATGGGAATTAGGCTTAGGTTAATTTGAGTGAAATCAGAGTTGGATCTGAGGTCTTCACTGTAACAATAGGATACAGAAAGAATATCATCATTTTTCACTCTGTGATACTGTGATGAGATCTTAAAAGCAGGTTTGTTTAAAAATCAGAAACATTACTGGGATAACACTCTGGCTGTCAAGATCACAGCATGCTGTTCTGCCTTCTCTTGGTAAGGATGAAGGATCACACTTAGCACTGCTACTCTGCATGGTTAGAAGAAAGCAGTGCAGAAACTACCAGAATTAGCTGAAGTGAAAGGAGCTTTCATTATTGGGCCTAAGAAACCTACAGAGAAGTGAAATGCAGTGAGAGATGTGGAAAAAGATGGAGCTCACCTGCTGCTTACTGCAGTTATTTATAATGGCATTTACTGCTTCAAGCACATCTGCTGAGCTTGCTTCTTCAGTGTCTATGATACTTCTCAAGGCCAGAGCCAGGGCACTGTTGGAAGGATCTGCAATTATACTTGGACTGTCCAACATCTTTGTCTGCTTATCAATGTGCACAATTTGCATGGACCTGTTCAGAGAGAAATGCACCGTGAGTGGATAATCAGTGAAGGAGTGGTGATGGGGAGGGATGTAAGACACAAAGCTCAGTGTTGGATTGAATGGACTTCATACAGACTCAGCTGCAGTGTTTTGTCATCATGTGCTTTGTGCAGGACAGAAATCTAAACCTACAAAAAGTAAGTTTATACAACGTATCCTCTGGTGAGAGCTTCCATCACACAGAACAACATCTTTCATCTTGCAAACTGAAGTGTGCATTTAAAACTGCACACAAGTGCATATTTTGCACCCAATGGATGGAAGCTGTACACAAATAAAACTCAAGGTAAGTGGAACACAACAAACAGAGAAAGGAACAGCTTTTATCACACTCAACTTACTTGGTAACACCTCTTGCTGTGCTAACATTGCAAGCACGTGCTCCTTTGAGACTGTTGATTATGCTGCTCTTTCCCACGTTAGGGAAACCTGAAGGAAATCACATAAATCCTTGTAAGTTAAATAACACTGATCAAAACTCCGTCTTCCAAGTGTCTTTGCTAAGGTGCATCATCAGTGTGAGATCAGAGTTGGATCTGAAGTCTTCACTACAGAAGTAAGACAAAGTGTGTATCCTCATTTCTCACACTGACACAATGACTAGAAAGCCCCTTAGCAAACCCTGTGTTAGCAGTTTCACCCAGTTTGTAACACAGGACCCCAAAGCTTTATGGGAAGAGAAGGAAACTCCTCCTGTCTGTCCAAAACCACTCACCTACTACCCCAACCTGAATGGCTTTGTTTTGAGTCTTGCCGTGCTCTTGAAGAAGTTTCAAAAGGCATTTGGTTCCAAAACGCTGAGAGGGCTCTGATAAATCAACACGTGCACGTCTTTTTGTGACCTGTTCCTGCTACAGGATTCAAAGGCAAAAAACCCCATGGTCAGGAGCTATTTAGGAAGATAAAATATGTATATTCTGTTTATTGATCTAGATTTATCAATCTACTGTAATTTCAGTGGCAAGAACCCCCCCACACTGTACTGCAAAGCTCAGCTGAAGTGTAAAGGCATATCCATCAGTCACAGCAGTGTAATCAAACAAGGGGAAAAGGAATTTTAAAGAAAGAGTTCCTGTTCCTCAACATGCTTCAACATGCATGATTGCAAACACACGACTCACTCATGAGACAGCCTGCAGTGCTCTTACCATAGTCTTGCCCTTCATCAACGTTGCTGATTTAAAAGCAACTGTTGGAAGCTCCTTCTTCAAATAATTCAACCATTTCTCTAAGTTGTCCTTTGGCACTAAATCTGGAAAAAAGAGGAGTTCTTTCACTCTTGTGGATCTTAAATATCACTGTGTGTAGGAAACCTGATGTGGAATTAGAAATCAGGCCACATTTTGTCCATTTAGGACGTTCCTTTATGACAAATAATGTTTGGCTGAAAATGCTACTAAAGTACCAGGTACGTTCCCCAAAGGCACCCAGTGTCTCCTTTTTCTGCCTTAAGCAGAACACATCCCAATTACATTTTTGGCCCCTGTATTAGGTTTTTAAGGCTGGGGTCTTGCTAAAAGACTGTATATGATACAGAGTGATGCTCTGTGAACGATTATCCCATGATCCCTGCAAGGACTACTCTAATACAAAGTTCCCTTTGCTCTTGCTATTTTATTTTCTGTTTTTTTAGCTGTTGGTAAGTCAATAATTTCCAGCTTTTTTTAGTGAGCTCAGAGTTGGAACAAATGTCTTCAATGGAATCTCAGATTCCTTTAAAATCTTCTTCATAGCTCACCTACCACAGAACCACACAGTGACCAAGTAACACTTGGAGAAAACCTGTGTTCCTTACCAATTTTGTTCAGAACCAACAGCAGCTTTTTGTTTCCTCCAGAGCAAAGGACAGCTTGCTCCAGCTGAGGACACCGGCAGCCCATCGGATCTCTCGCATCTAAAACCTCCAGAACCACATCTGAGGCCTCAAGCACCTGGGTTAGAAACAAGACAAGACTCTCAAATAAGGCATCACACACCAGATGACAACAAAAGTTACTGTGTTCTAAACACAGTAAATTGTAAAATCCCGTAAGTGTTGATGTTTATCACAGACAACCTTTATACTCTCCAGCAGCTGCACAGTAATGCCAAAGAAAGGAAAATAACAAGTGGTCTCATTGCTGACTCTCAGCAAATTGTATAAAGATAGCTGAAGCACTTCACCTTGTTGAGCTCCCTGCAGAATGATTTCTTTGAATTTTTATTCACAGGTTTTTTAGTCTTTCCTTTAGATTTGCCAGAGGATTCCTGAAGGCAAATAAAAACAAAAGCGAATTATTTAAATAAGAATTAGAGTAAGTACTTGTGTGCGTATACAGCATGAAAATGTAACATGTAACATCCTGCTTGAGAAGGTGCACTTTCAGGGTGACTTTTATAAGCTTCACAGAATCAAAATCATACAGGACACCTACCTTTCCCTTCTTTTTAGCTTCTGCCTTCTTTTTAGCTTCCAGCTTCCTCTTCTTTTCATGTTCTTTCTGTCTGTTGAGCTTCTGCTTTTGTTTCAGTTCTTCAAGCTGATTGCAAACAAAATCCAAGCCAGATAAAACATTTTTGAAGGTGGTAAGGAAGACTGTTCTTTCTCCCCATTTCCCTATGTCTGACCCAAGTTCCTGAGACAGGTCAATTAGAAGTCCTGGCTGTCCAAGTGACACTGGGACACGTTTTTTTGCATCCTACCCTGAAAAGAGTACTGTTGCCTTCAACTGCCTCAAAACCAGAGGCAACCAGCCATTAGCCTGACCCCAAAATAACAATTGTGCAGCAACCACTACAACTGTGCTGCTCCCATGCCACATTACTCCACACTGCAGACAGCAGATCCTTATTTTCTTTATAATCACATCGTGCCAAGATCTAATTTTTAGCACATCCATGCATCTTACCATTGCAAGCAATTTGGAGCACATTAAAAATGACTCTTCCAGCATGTTAATACGTACAGCGAGAAAAAGAAGGTTAAAAATAAAAGAGCCAACTGTTGCACACTGTACAATCCTGGAAATAAAGATATTATTTTTCCAAAGTATGTGTCTACCAGGACCACCTACAGTCTACCACAACTGCACCTCTGGTGCACACACAAAGCTTCCTTGAAGGCAGGAATGGTCTCAGTTCTTGTCCTCTTTGCCACAAGCTGTATTTTACCCTCTGCTTTCTTTGCTCTGCCTCCCGTAGAAGCTCTTCCTTGAACGGTGCAGTGCTGGGAACTCCGGGATCTTTCTTGGGCTTTTTGCGCCCACGTTTCTTGGCCTCCTTCCTGACCTTTCGGTGGTGTTCTCTGATCTGGAGACAGGAACAAGAACACTTGCTCATTTTAAGGCCCCCCCCCCCAAACTTAAAGAGTAAAGACCAGCGCATTTCTGACCTGCCCGAGGTGGTTTGACTGCATAATGTGTCATCGTAAAGCTACACTTCAATGCACCAGCGAAAAACAATGTAAAACATAAAGATATAAAAAACCTACACTGGAAAACAAATTCCTCACTGAAGCCCAGACTCTTCAACATGCAATATAATACCCTTAATGTGTACATGTACACGCGCAACATATTTCTAAAATAACACCAGAAAAATGCTTTCAATGTTCTATAAAAATGCTTTTAGCGTTAAACTAGTTAACATGGAGTTTTAATTTGCAGCAGACCCCCCTCCGTTCCCCTACCCCGCACCGTCGGGACTCACCTTCTTCTGGATCTTGTAGCGCTTGTGGCAGCTCAGCCTCTTGCTCGCCTTCCTCAGCTCTGCAACGCACCGGGATCACCGTGTACCGGGAGCGCCGGGTACCGGGATCACCGGGTACCGGGATCGCCGTGTACCGGGATCGCCGGGAACCGGGATCGCCGGGAACCGGGATCGCCGTGTACCGACACACACACCCCGCCCGCCCGGGGACACGGCCGAGCTCCGGTGCTCGCATCCCCCGCCATTCCCTCCAGCCCCATGTTCGATTCCGCAATCCCGGTGTCCGATTCCCCTCTCCCGGTGCCCCATACCCCCGCCGTTCCCTCCAGCTCTGCTGTCCCATTCCCCCGCCCTGGGCCCCTGTCGCTCGCTCGGCCGGGGGCGGCCCCGCGGTGCCGCGCCACCTCCCTCCCCCGCCCCCCCGCCCCTAGGGCGCCGTCTGGCGCTGTTCCCGGTGCCCGGTGCCCATTCCCGGTGCCCCTTCCCGCCCCTCACTCGGTCTCCTCATGGCGCCGCCACGTGCTCCCGCCTCCCGGGCGCTGCCGTAAAGCGCGCCGGCGCTGGCCCGCCGTGGGGGGGTTGTGTGTCGCGCGGGCCGTGGCGCGCTTTGCGGCAGCGGCGGCAGTGTCGGTGCGGGCGGTACCGGCGGGACGGGCCGGGCCGGGCGGACCCCGCGCACCCACCGGGGCTGCCCGCGGCGGCGGCGGCACGCGGAGCGGAGCCGGCGGGGTGAGCGGCGCGGGGGGGAAGGCGCGGGCCGGAGCCTGGAGGCCGCTGCCTCCCTTTGTGTGGCGGCGGCGGTGGCGGCGCCGCCCGAG